GCGACATCTAGTTCATGTGCGCGCTCCCCCCCGCCACTTCTGCATACCTGTGCTTGTGGGCTGTATGTCATATAGATAAACGACCCAGGCTTGCTTGGGGCTGCCCAGGCTTACCGCCAACGTTACCAAGGGCCGCCGGGGACCGCCAACGCTAGGAAAAAAAAAAGTGCGGGCCCGCTAAGAACCCTAGCAGCAAAGCCGCATTAACTCGAGCAAGGAAGGCCTCATACTTCAGCCTAGTCTGACGTGGCACATGAGGCCTGCCCTCACTGAAGCGCGAACAACTCCACACCAGATGCTCCCAAGACGGCACGACTCTGGAATGGCAGAAGCTGCACACACGGGGCACTGGTCGGCCCCGCATGCGCACGTACTCAGTAGTGGAATGGGCAGCTCCGACAAGCACTCCCCTCCCTTCAGCACCGGACTTGCGCCAAAGGATGCGTGCAGCAGCAACTTGCTTCTCATCGTAGCGTGCTGCTGCAGCCCTCAAGTGAGCAACATCATGTCACTTGGGATTGCGCAAGAAACGATCAAAACATCTCCTACGCCAGGTCTCTCGGAGCACACACACACACACACACACACACACACCTGGCCTGTTTAAGCCACCCCAGGCGCGTTGGAGATTGGCAGCCCACACCGCGCCTTCAACTGTCTCAGGCTTTTTGTACCTCGGCGTGGCTTTAATGACCTTCCCCTGCCTAGGCGTGGGAGGCACAGGCAAGTCCAGACGCACGATCTTGTGATGCGAGATCTTGGCGGCGCCATAACGGATGGGAGGAAGGTCATTGGCCTCGTAGCACACACACCAAAGTCAATGCATCGATGCCCTTCCCATCGTGACGGAACAAACGCCCCGGAGGCATCTGTGACAGCGACGGTGTGACAACCAGCGTCAGGAAAGACTTGAGAAGGCGATTGATTGAAATCTCCAATTCCAAACCAAGGCCGGCCGAAGCTGAACGCTCCTTCGGCCTGTTCCCGCTCGTCATCCTAACGCGAAGCGCGTTCAACAGGCCCAGGGCGCGGCTCGATCCCTTGCTCAACGAACCTGGCAATAGCCCGGTCAAGCAGCTGTTTCCGGTTATCAGCAAAAACGGCACGACCCAAGAACACCCTCACTCAAAACGACATTCCAAGGAAACACTTGGTTGCTACGGCTGAGAGGGCCTCGGCGGTTACAGAGAGTCCGGGGTTTATGAAGCACTAGAGTTATGTGGGTTGCAGCACTCGTGCTACTCAGTGCAGCTACAGTCCTGAGGTTAGGATTTAGGCGGTTGTTCAGGGTTGTAATTCCTGATTACGACCTTATGTCCAAGGAACAAAAACATTAGGTCATTAGGGCACCCAGGTCTAGACTTCAAGGGTCTCGGGTTAAGGGTTTAGGGATTAGGCGGGTAGTTTATGGCGTGAGGTGCAGGGCTTAGGGATCCGAAACGATTTCGGGTTTAGAGGTTGGAAGTCAAAAGCGTGAGGCGCAGGGCGTAGAGCTCTTGCGAGCACGGTCAAGCAGCTCCTTAACTTTGCCCTGCCCAGTAGCGTGCCTGACCAACGGTGCCGCCCCGGACGGAAGTCGGAGTCTGATGCGCCTTGCGGACGCGGATGGCTTGATTGTACATGTGCACAATCCTGGTCGGGGGCCCAAAGTCGTTAGCAACTTGGTTGTACGAGGAACTCACGTCGCTCTTACACAACTTGAGGTGCTTCGTGGCACCGGCTCGGCAGACCTCAGGCCGAGCACTCCACCAGCGCTTGACGGACTGACTCCGCAAACGGTTGACACGATCATCAGCACCATGACAGACAGCGTCAAGCCTCTCTCCGACGGCACTCTGGACGTCTTGCCATTTCGCCGCGCACTTCTTGCAGCCCATGACGAGTGTCCCTTGCAATCCGAACTAGCTGATGCGAGGAGTCGCCGTCCCTCGTTTCCCAGCCGCGGATGACACGCAGAATCTTTAAACCAGCAAGAAGCCCGACGGAGAGCCTTCCTATGTGGGACCCCGCCAGACTGGATGTACGGGATGTCTTGCTTGCACGCTCGAAGCTCCCTCAAAGAGAGCAAGCTAGGTGTCCTTGGGCGTCGGTATGTTCTTAGCCTGATGCCGTTCAGCCTTGGAAAGCGGGCGAACTCGTGGCCAGTGAGCACGGACGGTCTGAACTCGTGGCCAGTGAGCACGGACGGTCTGACGAAGAAGAACCTCAGCTTCAGGGGCCTCAACGTCAGCGAGGTGAACAACGAAAGGGTTCGGACACTCAGGGCCAGGGGGCCCACCTTGACTTGAGCCTCCTGAGCGCTTTCGGACGCAGAGTCCGACAGCGTTTTGCGCTTTGGGGGCAACTTGCACCCGCTGCCCCAGCTTTGGCAGCCGAAGTGGCTTTCACAGAAGCAGTAGCCCTATGGCCGTCATCACTGACGACAGAAGCACAAGGGGCACGTGACCCCGGGCGCACACTGGAAGCGATGTCTGACAAGGACCACTTGGGTGTTTGTGCGCATGGGAGTTGAACTCCACTGGTATTTGTCGGAAGAAGAAACGATAAATGCAATTACGCCAAACTTTGGTGAGCACATCGAACTGGCAGTTGCCGGACCCGTGCCGAATCTGATTTGGGCAAAGAGGCGGAAACGAAACGAAAAGGATTTGGCAGTGGCCACCCAAGTCCCCGACAGTCTCCGCCACTACCACGCGGTAGTCGCAGCTTGTACTTCGCTGTCACGCTGCTACGACTGTGGCATCCGAGCCGGAGGCTCATCCGTGCACTCACTGCAGCGTTTCCAGCGCCTTCTGCGGGCGTCCGTGGGATGCCTGTCATTGAAGTATCTGGGCTTTGGCGCCTGCCATCCACATACACAAGTGCGGGAAAAGCGCAACCCGATCGGGGCCTTGGTGTTAGCCTCCGCACTGGACCGGGCTGCCTCCGCTTCAAGCCGCCGTTTGACTGAAGGAGCGGTGCCTCGAGAGGGGGCCTCACTCGCAGCGGGCCGAAGCTCAGTGCGCCCTGTCAGGCGCCTGCGCAAGCTGGAGGACGTGCGCAGAGAGGCAGCATCATCATCAACTCCACCTCTGAATCCAACGCGCGGCCCTGCACGAAGCTCACCCCAAGCAGTCTCGTCTCGGCACTGGCCTGCTAGCGCTTCAAAGTGTTTCGGCGTGTAGAGGAGAGCAAGACGAGCCTTCTTCCCCTGTCTGTTGAACACGTAAGTGGTGCCCTGCGTGCCATCAAACAAGTAGATAGGATGATCCGCGCCATTCGCAACGGCAGTGAGTTCTAGGGCTGAGCCCCAGGCCCCGTCCTTCGCGACCAAGTCCAAGTACTGAGAGAATTCACCCTCCGACATGGAAGTGTTGGTGCCGTCAGGCTCCTGGCGATCCCACGCAGAGGCGTAGGCCGCTTCATAGCGCCGCAGGTGACTGACAGCATGAGTTCTCAAGACCACGTGTCCTCTAGAAACGTTCACTTGCTGAAACGCTTTGACAAGGCATGACACAGACAGTTGCCTTGGCCCTCATTCCTGATGGCCCGCATCCCCGAAGGAAGGAGGCCCAGGCGCGCCTTCTTGAGCCCCTGCTTTGGCGAGGAGGGGCCGCGCTCTGTCCAGGCAAGATCCCGTCGTCAGCATTCCCAATGCCTGCGGGGCTCTCGCGTGTCCATAGCTGACTCGCCCTGCTGAGCGGAGGTGTCTGGGTCCGCAGCCTTAGGTTTGAATCCTGCTGGGTTCCGAAACATGCTGTCGCCCTGAGTGGGCCCTGCGGCCGAACCGGAAGGTGGCGCCTTGTCTGCAAAGCGCACAGTCGTCTCTGAAGGCATCGCGACAGCTCCTCGGCGATCGCTGCGCCCCATCACGCAAGAGGCTAAAGCAGTGCAGTTGTTGACCTGAAGGTCCAGGTGATCAAAGTCATCCTGGCGCGTGCCCTTGAAAACCCATCCAAACTTTTTCCTGTAGCGAAAACGTTCAACGATCTCAATCTCAGCGAAGCCAGCCGAAAGAGCAAGCTTGCGAACATCATCTTCACAGAAATCTGGCCCTAAACCCAGCAGCTTCCACATGCGTCTGCGTGAAGTGGCGCCATCTGTCCCAGTGGCGGGCTTCCAGCGGCACCCTACCTGAAAAGACCCAGCCTAACACCCAAACCATGAACCATGGCTTCCTGCTCCGCCTTGGCAGCTGCCTTGACAAGGGAGGCCTCGTCAACCCAGGAGGTTTCAGGTGGAGCGTGCAAGTTGGCAGGCAGAGGGGCTTCCCACCGTAAAGGCTCGAGAAACCAGCGGCAGTCTTTGTGCGCAGAACCGCTGGCACGAAGCAGGGCCTCTGCAGAGGCGGCATCGACACGAATCAAGCCTTGCGCCTCAGCAGTGCGCAGCTCCCAGCCCCAAGTATCCCTGATGGCAGGCGGCTTCCCAGTGATGACAGCTTCAGCCCAGGAACGCAACTGTTTGCCTGGGGAGGCAACCAAGGTGCCCCAACCTGAATGAAGCTCCTTGCGCGTCTTTGCTCGGAGAACTACACTGTTCTGCATTCCAATGCCGGCGAGCTCAATCTGCAAAGGCTTTGCCCTCATAAGAGGCGCTTTCTCACCCCGAGTCAAGACAAAGCGCTTAGCGAACCGAAGGCCAGAAGAGAACTGCAGCGGTACATTCCAAGTTGCTGGCGTCGTGCCCAACTCACGGCCGACCTCCTCTGTCCATCCAGGTGAAGTGGGGTAGTTGAAGACGAAGGTGGCTAACGTGGCCCGCAGCGCCTAGCAAATCCCACATGATCCTGGCCTCATCGGAGGAAGGAGCTCAGAACATGCTATGATATGCGATGATGATGCGGCACATCTTTCCTCGGCTGCTCTAGCCTGGTGCAGTCTGCTGTTTGGCGCCGGCTCCGGAAAATCCCTCCGTGGATCGGGCGAAAGATCCGCCAACAGAAATCTAAACACATAATCGGTCACATCTGAAACCCGGGGTCCAAAAAACTGAAATGGCTATGTAGCCCAGTACAGCAACCTATCGCGAGGTCTGGATCAATTTCCTGCAGACAACCAGCCGCTAGCAACAGAGATATACTCTTCCTCGGAAAGTAGACAATCAGGTAAGGGCCAGAATGCGGGAACTAAAATCTTTGTGTTGGCTGGGCCTTTCGACCTGCGGTCAGCGCTCCCGCACTACCCTATAGGCTGGAACTTAAATGACCATGTAACCCCTCTCGCCAACTTTAGGGTCATAAAAAATGGGCTCCGAGTCGCGTAACCCCATTTAGGTTGCGGTGTAGGTGGGGTCATATCATGGTCATGATGACCATTGCTACCAGTGAGTTCATCATCACCATCATCACTACATACCGCTATCTTCGACAGACGTTGGTTCATCATCATTGTCATACAGATGGATAGTTGCCTCCTGAGTTCTGGCCAATGATGACCATAGGATCGACATGTAGCTGGGAGAAACCGGGCAACAAGTGGACCATAAGAACGTATGAGAAACACTGCAAGCCGACAACAAAACGGTAGTCGTCGAGGTAGCAATAGCAGTAGCAGCAGCGGTGGCAGCAGCAG